GGTGTGATCTCGCAGCCGCGTGCCCCTCTCCTCTCCCCGCGACCACCGCGGCTTTTTCCATGAATTCCAGTGAATTTTTTTCTGTGCCAGGCAATCACCATGTCACTGGATGGGTAGATATTTGCAGGGGAATCGAGCAAATTACTTAAGAACATCGCAATGTCCAATAAACATTGCATGCAGTGCTAGTACTGTGCGAGATCAGGTGGTCGATGTGGGGCTGCAGAAAGAGCAAGGGGTTGTAATCACAGCTTTTCGTCTCACATCTAATCTCACGTGATGATTGTTGCCTGCGGAATTGCTGAAATTCAGAAATCATAAATAACGTGTTCGTTTTCAGAACGCAATGTGACCCATGGATTCCCGAACACTGCGGAGCGAGGAACGTATGGACCCTATGAACTCGACATTAAAACGTTATATCAGCGACGAGATCGCTTCTGAGATTAGGGTCCACAGGGTGGCGAAAAACTACGTGTGCTTCCTACCCCATGTTTTTTCGTCCACTCGGACAAATTTCGCAAGTAAATTACAGACACTCTTTCGTAGCATTTTTTCTCTACTTCCCAACATATGGCGACTGTGTAACTTGCGCAGACTGAGGAGCGCCGTCTATACTTGCCATTTGAAAAGCTCACCTTAATTTGATCAGAAGGTCGCCGGCCTGTAAAGGACTGAAAGCACCGGTGACCCGAAGGGAAAGCATGGCCAACTTTTCATGCTTTAAAGCTTCCAATTACTCAATAAAAAGGGATTTGCCAGAGATAACAAGTTGGCCTTAGAGTCGATAGCAGAGAGCCTGAAAATAGCTTATAGGAGCATCCAAAATATCGTGAAGAGTGCTAAGGGCTCCGTGGTTATTGAGTGTGCAAAGACTATAGCTTGATTAAAGGAAAAGGGGATACGGGGTGTACAGCCGTCATCCGGGCCGTTGTTTAGGCGGTCAAAGGGTCGCAGACGCGGCTGCGGCGCGTCACGACCGCAGCGGTCAGCTGTTTCCAGCCGGCT